TCAATTCTTACAAATATTTCGTTATTATGCTTATAAAATATTTATGGGGTCAGTAGAAATAATAAATTTATGAAATTAATTTACATTTTTATTGAATATAACATTATTTTTCGTTTAGCCTCTTATTTGAAACCCAAATTTCAATAACACCTGCCTCATAACCTATGAGTCATAGGTGGGATTAGAGGTTTTTTTACAATGTTTATATATTTTTTCAGATATCCAGTTGTTTTATGAAACCATTTTTTTGTTGTTATTTGTCTTATAACAAACAAGCATGCAAGGTAGAACTCTACTTTACATAAGATATAGCGAATATTTTTTCTGTATTAGTTCTGTTTTCAGACTTAGTATTATAGTTGTAATTAATAATCACTATTAATTACATATATAATATTTAACAGTACGCATAGATTATCTTTAAAAGATACGTTAAAAAATGTACACTATGCTATAACTTGGTTTTCCAGCATTTTTAAGAAAAATCTTTTTATGGTAGATTTCAACATGAAAATAGTTTTTACATGATGATTTTACATTATTTCACACGTTTTGAATGTATTCACAATGTATGAATCATACATAGTTTATATTTTGAAAAAAACATTTTTAAAACAAAATGCAATGCCCTTAACAACAAATTAACCCATTCAAATAACCTGCTATCATCTTATCTATGAACAAAATTATTTATATTTAAAAAAAAACGCAACCCAACAGTAAATTGTAGTGCCAAAGCAAGGATCGCGCCATAGAACACTCTAGTAGAACGGGTCAAACGGATTTTCCTAGCTTTTGCGCCTTATCTATTTAAAATTGATCACCCCCTCACGATTACTCCGTAGTAGTAAACCACCTGGGCCTGACTACGTTAGCTGACAGACGCTTGGAAGCAAATCTTTAATTTTTCTCAAAATTACTCCATGGTGCAGTAGGCAGCCCGACATTGTTAACTACCGTAAACGTCCTTGTCCCTATGCCATCCTCCCGCTCCATACCTCTATTCCATACCCCAATAAATCACATTGATTTCACAATAACCACACCTTATAAAGGATGTGTCGTGCAGCGAAATTATATACCCAATTTAGTTTCTTATCTCCCTTCTTTATAATTCGTGATGTGTGTTTGTCTGTCTGTTTGTTTTTTTCCCCGTCTATACTACTGGACGGATTTTTTCGCGGTTGGTTTCGTTCGATTCCTAACATCACGGCGCTTAGAATAGGCTACCTTAAGTTCCCAGTACTCTTCGACTTCATTGATATCCTGTCTGGAAGTAGGGACTTGGTAGATCGGTAGTTATTGTTTAAGTTGTTGATAGGTAGTTTCTAATCGAACACACATGTCTGTTGTAACCAACTTCATTCTCTTTTCACTTCCGCGTGTTCAATCTTCCTCAAATTTATCTGAAGTGAGAAAAGAAAATGCCGTGAAAACGTCGCTCAAATTTATGTGAGACTGTCCAGGCGACAAGAACCAGGACTGTTTTATAATTTGATTAGATTTTTAATAAGCAACACTAGTGATTTTAAAATTTGATAATGAACTTTATCCTTAAATTTCTCCACTGCTTTTTAACCAGAACAATCCTAAATGCGGTACCCTTATGCCAACTTTTGGGGTGCGTCTCAAATTAGCTCATTCAAATCCGTCAACAGAGTTCAAAGAGGAACAAAGTCGTTATCATTTGATAAAGAAACCTTGATTTGACAGTGATTAGGTACACCATACCAGCTAATTAGCCGACTGACCTCTAGACATTTCTTTCCATTTTCAACCCATAAAGTAAGCAACATGGGACACTTGATTTTTAACCATCTAACTTTAAGCAAAGAGCGCCAGACACTCGCTTGTAGGGCCAAGCCCTTAGAGTATTATTAGAAAAACATAATTTAAACATGATTATCACTTATAATTAGAGGTGAAACCGCCATAACCATACACGAATATCAAAAATAAATGTCTTTGTATATTTGTTGTAGATGATTTACTTGAAAGAATTGGTGGTTACTTATACACGTTGGTTCCGTTTTATTTGTTGAAGGACATCTATCGTCGTTTTTCGTCATTCCGACGCTGCGACCGTATTGTCGAGCTTGACAATCTGCTTTTCCAATAATGTTTTTCCAAAATTCGACTCACTCTGACATTGCAGTACCATTTGTAAAAAATTGTCTTTTAATGAACGGTAAGCTTCGGCTTTTTGGTCGTATCTGATCTCCAATGCACCGTTTTCGACCATCAGGTTTTCGTAACGTTCCATGCATTTCTTCAGTTCCTTCTTATTGTACTCCAGACTTTTTTTGTTTTTTTCAAAATGAATCATTTTTTGTTCCAAACGAATTATGTCGCCGTTGGCTTTTTCCAATAGACCTTTAAAGTGTTGATTTTCTCTTTCTAGAGACGACACGTACTTGTCGGTGGACGAAGTTTTTATGCTGAGCATTTCTAATTTTTCCTTGAGTACGCTCACCAACGTTTGGGTGCTGACCAGTAGCTCTTGATAGTAACTGTGCATGTCGTCAAATTCGTTTTTGTGTTTCTCCAACAACATCTTCACTTGTCGTTCCTTAGCGTTCTCGATCAGCGCCACGCCCAATTCGTGTTTTTTCAGAACACCTTCGACGACCGTCTGCCGTTTTTTCTCGATTCGTTCCATTATCTGAGACATTTGATTTTGCATCACCTCGGCTTTCGCGTCCAGCTCTTGGACATGGGCAACTTTGATGTTTTTTATCTGATTGGTATGGTCCAGAGCGTTGTGCAGAATGGTCTGCTTCAGCGACGAGTTCACGTTGAACAACTCCGTAATTTGTCGGTCACATTCCGCAGCTATGCTTTTCAAAACGTTCGAATTCTGCGATTTTACTTGTTTCAGTTCGAGGTTTTGCTCGTAGACCAGCTGAAGTCGTTGTTGCCGGGCTCGTTTTTTCACTTGTTCCACACGTTGCGCGTTGTCTCCCGCTTCGTTTTGTGTAGCCACCATGTCGGCCATGAGAGTCGTTAAATTTTGTTTTGTGATTTCCCAAAAAATTCGCATTTGATCCCTTTCAATTTGATAAGTCGACCTGTTCTGCCGTTCTTTTAACAGTTCGTCGTACAACTTCTGAGTGAACTTCATCAAAGCTGTATGTTCGAGCTCGGCCACGTTGACATTGTCGATGATGACGTTTTGCTGTTTCTTGTTTTTCTTCGACATTTTTAGGCAAACTCACTTGAAAAAAAAAAAGCAATAATGTTTTTAATATGCTTTTTTTGCAATAAATTACAGACGTCAACATTTCAGTGTTTACGTATCAAATATATCAGAAAACTTGTAGTCAAACCGGTTGTTATGACTACCATAATTCATAGGCCAGCCAGTGTTCACCTAGGCTTTAGAGGATTTCGATTGTGTGTTGTGACGCATTTGGTTTGTGATTACACCCTTGCGCTATAGGACACACACACCCATCTAGCCATTAACATTCCATCACTATTGAATCTAACCTACCGTAATACAATTAACTGTTTATCATCAGTAATTGATCGTAAGCTGAATTCTACTCCGTACTTATACTCTCCAGTCCCAACGAACCCCACCAGTTACGCTCTTTTCTTTGTTGTCTTATTTCTTAACTTGTTTGTTGTTTATTAAAACTGAACTTGGTTTGTTTTGTAATGGATTATTTTCGGTTTTACTAGAATTTCTAATATTTACTTACATTAGGTAAACGACACTTTGGTTTTACTTCAAAATCAGGTTTGTTTCAATATAACATATAATATATATAGTAATAATATCGTTTGGTTAAACTCGACCAAGCTGACTTATAATTTGCTTTTGTCGTTTCCAATGACTTAAAACTATTAGCAGCGTCCCCTTCCAATGACGATCTTAGATAAAAAAATCTTTTGTATTGTATTTAGGCTTGCATTGTCATGTATTAAGGCCTTAAATATATCGTTGAAGGTTGCCCACTCTTTATATTTTCACGAAAAGGTAGGAATATTTAACGCCGCTAATTTCACCATGGGGCAGAAAATGTTTGCTTGGTCACTTCCGTCATTAAATCTATTTTCAGTCTTATCTTATTACGTTGATCATCCTTATCTTTCAAAAATCCTCTTTGCCTCAACCATGACTTTAAAATACAGATGGCTATCGATGAATCTGTTGTTGAGTCTTTATTTAGATTTTCCCTATACGCACAAGCATACGCTTAACTGCATTAAACTCGATAAATCTTTAGTACTACTTACGAAATACTTTAAACTTTTACTTTTGTAGTACTAAAACTTTACGCTCGAAAAAAGAGATAAAAATACGACACTCTTTATTGCGTACTTGCAAACTTAACTAGATAAATTTATTATTCGACACTAGTTAATTGCCCTAGCTAAATTAACCGCATTTCGACGCTAATTCTTAATCCCGGTCGAAGGACCAAATGTTTGGGACCTTAAACCCTTCGCATGTAGACTTATTATTTTTAATTAAAAATCCGCTAAGATTAATTTTCATTTATTGTAATAAAATTGCACTCGGGTGGTCATGGCGTGCGTACAGGGGACAGAACGACGACTAATAATGATACATGATCCGCGGAGCGATTCAAAACTACACAACAAACCGGTTTTTCAACAATAATAATAATATACAAAACACAACAATGTTGTTCTAACTTCCAACGCGACTTCTTCCAAAAGACGATCTTGGATTGGTCCCTAACCCTTGCCAGCTGCAAAACTATTTCGGATAACAGTCTATAGTTCCGATGAAAAACCACATTTCGAAGTGACGAAATGGATGTATTCAAAAAAAAATGTAAGTACTTAAACTTACTAAGATTAATTAATGGTGAAGCTATGTCGACAGATGGGATGGATGGAGAGGAGTAGTGGTCCCGACAAAGGACCTAAATGTCCTGTATATTAAACCAATACAAATTATGACTGAAAGTAATGAAATAATTTATAATAGCAGGCAAAAACTTTTTATTATGCAGTACATTTAATTATTTGACAATTTTGACATTACTGTGGCACACAAAAAATATTTAAAAAATATAATAACATAAGTACTTCATATTTTATGTATTATTTATTAAACTAAACCCGAGAGTATAGAAATTATTTATTTAAATTATATATTATAACTCAAGAGTTATGCTTTTCCCTACCGACATATGGTTTTCGTTATCTACATTATGTAAATTAGTCCCAACGTATTTGCATGACTTTATGACTGTCTCTCCATGACTTATAACACAAGTATGGTCGAGTGAAATAGCAGCATTTGTTGCGTATTCTTTTGGATCTTGTACACTCATGAACAATCCTATGATTCGACATATGTGGATAAATTCAACATGATGGTTCTTTGGTTCTAAAAAAAAATGTTCAAAAATTAGTCAAATTTAGCTTGCTGCACAGACAAAAAAATACATAGTTGGACAAACTAAAATTAAGGCTAATCTTATATCCTCGCCCAAAAGCAAAAGTGTATTGAGTTACAAAATGTAAATTTTACAGGAGAGAGAAAAATTAAATTATTTGTCAATAAATTAATAATTACTAACTTCTTCTTCCTAAACCTATAAGCCCCACACACTTCACACCTATCAACTCACATTAGATAGGTGGCTGTAATGTGAGCTTTCTCCTCGCCACCCTGTAGCTGTTATTGTTTCTTCCATCAAATTTACTTATTGTACATAATTTAGTATAGATTGTAAATATTCTAATCAACGTCAAAAATAACGAAATATAACGATAAATAACGATGTATATAGCTTGCGTACGAGTCCGCAACACCACGGGGTACATTTTATGTATCTAAGGTGGCTAGTAAACATATCAAGTTTCTGGCTAATACTTTAAGCTAACTGTGAATAATAAGTCTTTAATTATAACTTAATTGTATTAATCGTGGTGAAATATCATTTGTAATAAACTTGTGTTAATTCTTATTTTGACGAAATCCACTAAATACTCAAAGTCTAACAGTTATTTCAACTATAAATGTAATGTGCTAATTGTAATCTTTGTTAGTCCAAATATGTATTTTTTCCATGTTACTACTAGTTTTTTTATTAGTTTATTATTTACGATTTATAATATTCGTTATTAAATCGCCTAATGGTTTAAGCAACAGATCTCTTCGCTTAGCTCCCAGGTCATCCATACTGTCAAGACCTTTAACTGAAAAATTCAATTAATGTGTTAAACAAAGTATAAATAATTTTGTAAAGTATATTTATTATGACAATTTTGTAACCTCAGTAAACACGGCGCAATTTCAAAATTACAAATTACATTATTCGAAAAACACACATTAAACAAACACACAAATCGTTAAAACATGTTTTTATTGGAATTATACGTTTATAATTTATATGGTGTCTATTTAAAAAAAAAGGTATCGATAAGGTAAAATATGTATCGATAAATAAACATGTTGTATGAATGCAAATAAGGTTCAAAAAAATATTATTTAAATTAACGAATCTAAAAGTTTATAAACAAAACATTTGATGAACATATCATTTTTATACGTACAGTTCAGTTAAACGGTTTTTGAAGTTAAAACACATCAAAACCGGTTAAACTGAACTGTACGTATAAAAATTATTTGTTAATTAAATTTTTGCAAATAAACGTTTAAGATTCAGTTCAGGGTAGCGGGTTTTGAAGTTAAAACGTGTAACGTTATAAGTTTAAAAATTTAATGTAAGTATCATTTTTTTGCGTTCAGTTGGAGGTAAAAGTCTTTTGAACGTTAAAGTATAAGCGTTTAAATGAACGTACAGTTGTTGAACTAATATTTGTTTTCATTTTAACAGTTTATTCTCATTACGTACGGAACCTGGATTGACTTAAAATAAATTTCAAATGACCGTCTAGATTTTAAGCGCTATTTACGACTGTCGAATAAAGCGTAATTACCAACAGGTGTATGCTTAACGGCAAAATGGCCTGTAACAAAAAACATATAAATTTGCATTAATTGTACGGTTATTGAAAATAAGTATTCATAACGTTCAAAATAAAAATGAATAATAAATTCAATAATATAAGGTGCCAAATTCAGTAGTAACATGGAAATTAAAGTTTGGCTGGGGGTCATTCCTAAATTTGCGTGGAACATAAAGATAGAGATTTAGTGATTGAATAGTAATAATGGGTACCAGGGTACTATAAAACACACGTTTACATTGTCGCCGCCACCACATAGCGTGCTTTGACTTCAGCTACTGAATACGTGCCGCCGGCCACAGTACCAGGGTTACCATACGTTAAGTTTGCTATACATTGCTCAGCAGCTGTAGCGGATGATAATTATATGAGACGCATACTGTCAGAACAGCTTAACCTATTAAAAACTAATTTTTTTAGAATAATAAATTATTAAAAAGCCAATCTTACCCATACACTCCACGCTAGAATGTTATTTTATTAAGAACAGTTACTAGTCCTATGTGTAAAACATGTAAATGTATTATCTAATAAGAAAGGGACTAATGGTTGCAGCGGTCGAAAAAATTTTACGTTTTTAACATTATTATTATTTTTTTTTTTTTTTTTCATTTCATTTCATGTATTCACTTGTGTACACTTGGTTATTCAGTGTGAATTTTAACGATTAACTAACGAGAAGTGTACCAGGAGTGACAAGCTTAAGATTACGCACATTCTTACAATTTTTTAATATGAAAGCACCTTATTGAAATGTTCAATAAGATATATATATAGTTTTTAGTAGCCACATTTGAGTAAACGAAATGAACGGAATGATATCAAACGATCATTAGGACTAAGTGAAAAATATTTAGTTTATGACTATGATTTCAATCCAAATATTTTTAAGTACAATTAATATTTATCTATTAGTTTTGTAAAGTGTTTGTGAAAATATTTTGAATTTTATAAATACCTAAGTGTTCGATTAATTTTTGTTGCAGATATAGCTCCATTATGTACTCTAAAATTAAAAACAAAATTCATTTTTATATATTTCAATTGTTATGACAAAATTAATATGCATATGATTTTTCTTATAACTTAAAAACTAATGTAAAAACCGTGTGATATGTACTATGAATATTAAAAATGAATTACGGAGAAAGGAGTTGTTATCACAATCTTGTTCTGAAATTAAAACGAAATTATTTTATACATAACAATAACCAACAACTATATCGAAATATTTGCAATTATTACCAGGTATCGCAAACATAAAAGTCAAATGCTCTGAAATGATGATTACAAAAAATGTATTTTTAAATGATATTAGACTTAATTTTAAGTTTAGTTATAAATTTAAAAGAGGAAGTCAAGGTAGAAAATGCATGTTTCATAATAATAATGAATTTACATTTACAAATGAATATTGAGTGATATAAATTTAATATTTATAACACTCATAAAATTGCATTGGTAAATTTTTTTTGCAATAATTATTGTATTATTTCCAAAACATTTCTTCTACTAGCATACTTAATCGGTTTTGTTATAGAATAATAATTACTCATCGATAATCTATGTTGCCAAGCAAAATTTTTTATGTTGAACCCCGCGGTCTCTAAAATAAACAAATAATTGATTGAGTTAAGAAAAATAAAATAAAATTTTAATGCGTAATAATATTAATAAAAATGTTCTGAATAGAACAGCGGTTTCCAACCTTTTTGAGACTATTACCCATAAATCAGGATAGATATTGACAAATACCCCTCCCTCCCAAAAAAAAGTTAAGTAAAAATATTGAAAATATTTGAAGGTAATAAAATTATCAGTGTCATTAGGACATAAGATTAGGTAATACACATGTATTCCCATGTATACACGACTGATTCAAAGTTAATAATAATAATAGATATAAAGTACATAAAATAAAAATAAATAGTATAGTCTTTATTCCTCAAAAAAATCGTGTTTTACTCCTTGAGGGGTAATTACCCCCAGGTTGGGGACTGCTGGAATACAAATACATTTTGAGTTAAACGTGACCCATTTTACTAGTGATAAGCCGTGTTGGAATTTTATTACACAATTATTCTATAATATCTATTCTAGATTATCAATAATATTTTACAAACTAAATTAATATATAATCATATTGTTCGTGTAGAATCTTTGAGACTCTTTTGAGAAATATTGTCAACAAAAGTTGCGTTTTTTGAGCTTATTATCCTCAACAAACCTCGACTTCACCACTATTGATAATTCCTAGAGTTTTTCGGTAATAACCATTTTTTAAAAATACAATACACACAACAGCCAATAATTGAATACATTTTTTATAGAGATTATAGTTCATAAATATAAATAACCTTATAGTCAGGCAAGTGCCAAGTACAACAAAACCATTAAATTTATAGTATTAATAATTTTAAGTATGTCTTACTTCTATTAACCAATGTGCGAATGAGTTCGTCTGTAATAAATTATGTATAAAAATTGTATAGTCTTAAAACTTAAAAAAAGTATTTTGTAAACAAAAAATGTACTGACTTGTAGTTTCAAGGTTCTTTCTATCTTCTACATTTTCTGTAAAAAAGTTGAATAATGAATTTTTGTCGTTTCATGCGTTTCAAAGTACGGTTAAATTGAATAGGGTTGTTTTCGATAGAAACTGCACACTACACAGGTGTAAAAGCTTCTTAAGTATGTCAAGGCGATATAGATACGGTTTGTCACTTAAAAACGTATAGATTACACGCGGGAGCACTTTAAGAAAGACACGTCTGTACGTATTGAGGTAAAAACGTTATTTTAAGTATGTCTTAACCTAACCTGTATCAATATGTACGTCAGTGAGTTTATCTGTAATAAATTATGTATAAAAACTGTTAAGTCTTAAAAATTAAAAACGTATTATTTTGTAAACAAAAAATGTACTGCACCTTCAGGGTTCCTTCTAACTTCTGTATTATAAGCTGTAAAAAAATTAAATATTGAATTTTGTTTAGTTTTTTTAAACCTAAGCTTGAGTAGATACAAAGGTACAAGGAATACATACCACCATTTGCCACAACATTTAAAAACGCATAGATCACTATCACATAGAAAAGTTTCATTTTTGTCTGCAAATAATAATGCAAATTAAAACATGTTATATTAGACGGAGGTATACTTACAATAAAATCTAAACATTTATTGCAGAATTGCCTATGTAAATTTTTTAGCTCTAAGCGAGATTATTTTTTTTTCGTTATGTTTACTTATTTACATTGCTCTGGCGTGTAGTTTAAACTTGTGTTGTTGTAAACACGCAGGTACAAAATCGTGATTTTCTTACATTGATGCAAAGATTACGTAACCACAAAACACGATTATAGAAAATATCGAAAAACAATTATTGACAAATGTATACTAGTGTTCAATATTTTTGTCGTTTCAGAGTACTGTTAAATTGAATAGTGTGGTTTTCAATAGAAACTACACAGGTGTAAAAGCTTCTTAAGTATGTCAAGGCGATATAGATACGGTTTGTCGCTTAGAAACTTATAGATTACACGCGGGAGCACTATAAGAAAGACACGTCTGTCCGTATTGAGGTAAACACGTTATTGATTAGAAGAAACTATTAGAAACTCGATGAAAGCAAACAATGTTACTATTTTTAAAGTTCGATAGTTTACCTTACTTAAGCTATTGCAACGATAGTTAAACTGACTGCTTTAATGATTTTCATACAAATTCAGTACATATACATATACAGTGTAATTATTTTATCATAGGCCACTCAATACCTCTAACTTTAAAACATACATTTTAAAACATACATTTCATTCACTTTTGAAATTGAGAATAATTTACTAAAAATTTTGACTGGTCGATTACATTAGTTTTGGAAAACTATTTTTAAAGTACATAAGGGGCCTCTACACTAGCATTTACTAAGGCGCATTGTATAGGCAATTTTTCGTTGAAACTTAACATTAAGTCAACATTTTAAATATACATATTACCATAGTAAGAAGTATCTATTTTGATAATTTTTTTTTTTCAACTTTAATATCGCATGTAAAATCTATTTTTTTACAAAAACACATGTTTCTACTTCAAACGTTATGTTCTTAATAATAACAATATGGGATCCCAACAATTTCTGGTGATATTATTCACCTAATGCAAAACCCTTGTTTAAAAAATACATAAGCAAACTGGAGTTAATACGTCTTGAGGAGGAGCTAAAATAAACATAATATAAGTATAATATGGTATACAACTAAACAAGTGCTGAAGCCTGAAAGTACTACACTACAATACTAAAAAACAATTCACATCGATTCTAGTATTAAAACCACCACTTGTATTAGGACAGCAACATATTATAGTATTAAAAAATATTATAATATGTAGATGTCTATTTACAATATATATGGTATGGATGTAAACATTTAACATAAACAAAGCATCAAGAAAATACGAACATTTAAAAAAAAAAAATAACGACTACGTTAAAAATTAGCACCAAAGAGTTTATAGCGTTTATTTGAAAGTGGTTTTCCCCTTTTTATTACAAAATAATTCCTGTAGACCTGTAGGCCTCCCCGTCCCTATTGCTTTGATCCCATTATGCCTCGACCCCACTGTACTGGCTTACTAGGATCAAATCACTTTCAAATAAACGCTTCGATACGAACTATGCTTACTATGCTATGCGTAATTATAACCAGAGCTCTGCATCATTCTAATAAAGTATATTTAAATAATCGTCTAGGTATCAAATTATTCAAATAAAAGTTCTTTGTTTAAAAATGTATTTGAATCATTTGAAAAATTATCATTTAAATAGTCTGTGTTTTTTTTTAAGTTATTGTATTTAAAATTATTATTTCGTAACTTTAAATACATTTTTAATTCAGAAAATATATAAAACCAGTAAATATAAGAAAACAATTTCGTATAATACTTACGAAATAATTGCAATGATAGTTATACTGGCTGCTTCAATGTTTTTTTACGACTAATCGAAAGGCTTATATATTACCGACCCAAAAAATAAAATCCAGATGTATTTTGCAAAATTGTTTTTGCGAATTTGTTAACATAAGCAACATTTGTTGTTTTTAAAAACATTTACAATTAATTAATTTGGATGACATTATGTGTCGAATAAATTGTAAAGGGATATAATAAACACTATTTCACAAATGTAATTTATACTATATTGATACAGTTTTATTAAAGTATGACGCAAAAGGCAATCTTATTTGTATAATAACAGAACGTTCATGTGTCTAAAAAATACTAGCGCCAAATAAATATTTCGCAAACAAAAAACAATTTTGGTTAGCGTTGTAAAAAATAATTGTCCAATATTTCAAATATTCCTAATATTATTAGTACCAAATAAGTAAAAATGTTAAAGTTATTATTATACAGAGCTTTAAATCAGAAAATTATAGTTAATTAAGTTTCTTATAAAAAACCCGTTCAAATAACAAAATATATTAGGCACAAGATTTACCGTGTGATCGCTATAAAATAAGTAAACTAGTAACTCTTCCAAAAATACAAAGTTGGTCGAACTAAAACTATGGTTAATATAAGGGTACAAACGATTTCTAGTTGAACTGACCTAATAAAAACTTGGTCCAAATTGGCTATTATATGGATGAGGGGTAAAACAAAATTTGTAAACAAAATAACTAAATACAAATTTGTTCCTGTAAACATTGAGTTGGGCCAATTATTTATTTAGTTCTTCTAATTAAATATTTATCATGTCCTTAATTTTTTTCCACAGTTTAAGTAGGACCGTTGTTTTTAAAAACATTTACAATTAATTAATTTGGATAACATTATGTGTCGAATAAAATTTAAAGGAATATAATATACATTATTTAACAAATGTTATTTATACTATATTGATACAGTTTTATTAAAGTATGACGCAAAAGGCAATGTTATTTGTATAATAACAGAACGTTCATGTGTCTAAAAAACACTAGCGCCAAATAAATATTTCGCAAGCAAAAAAACAATTTTGGTTAGCGTTGTAAAAAATAATTGTCCAATATTCCAAATATTCCTAATATTATTAGTACCAAATAAGTAAAAAAGTTAATTATATTATTATAAAGAGCCTCAAGTCAGAAAGTCATTGATGAATAAGTTTCTTATGAAAAAACCCGTCCAAATAACAAAATATATTGGGCAAAAGATATACTTTGTGATCTCTATAAAGATCAGTACAGTTAATTTATAGTTGTAATAACTAATTACAAATTTGTTCCTGTAAACATTTAGTTGGTCCAATTATTTACTTAGTTCTTCCAACTAGAAATCTATTGTGTCCTTATTATAACCCATAGTTTAAGTAGGACCGTTTTTTAAAAAAACATTAACAATTAATTAATTTGTTAAGCATTCTGTGTCGAATAAAATTTAAAGATATATTATATACATTATTTAACAAGTGTTATCCATACTATATCGAAACAGTTTTATTAAAGTATGCCGCAAAAGGCGATGTTATTTGTAAAATAACAGAACATTCATGTTTCTTAAAAACAATAGAGCCGGAGAAAATATCTCACTTGCAAAAAAAAAATGTAGGTTAGCGTTGTATAAAATAATTATCCAATATTCCAAATATTCCTAATATTATTAGTACCAAATAAGTCAAAATGTTAAATATACCAATGAATGTGGTAATATTTCAATAGGGATAAGAATCTTTTTTTAATTAAATAATTTCATTTGTAATTTTTTTTTTTTCATTAAAATATTTACAATATTTTAAATTTGGAAACTATTGTGTGTCGAATAAAATGTAAAGGGATATACTAAACACTATTTAACAAATGTAATTTATACTATATTGATACAGTTTTATTAAAGTATGACGCAAATGGCAATCTTATTTGTATAATAACAGAACGTTCATGTGTCTAAAAAATACTAGCGCCAAATAAATATTTCGCAAACAAAAACAATTTTGGTTAGCGTTGTAAAAAATAATTGTCCAATATTCCTAATATTATTAGTACCAAATAAGTAAAAATGTTAAATATATTATTATACAGAGCTTTAAATCAGAAAATTATAGTTAAATAAGTTTCTTATAAAAAAACCCGTCCTAATAAAAAACTTGGACCAACTTGGCTATTTTATAGATTAGGGGTAAAACAAAATTTGTATCCCTAGTGATTTTATTCACTTTAATTTATAGCAATTCCTGTAGAACTCTCCATCGCCTCGATGCATTCATTCTATTATGCATATACTCTACTGTACAAGTCCTCTGGAATAAAATCACTTTTAAATAAACGCTTTGATGCTTATTTGTATACACAGCACCTCAATTTAATATTTTCTTACTTTGCTGGTTTACACTGTGCTTGGTTAGGACTGTACTGGCTTGAAAATACAAACTATTGATTTACATCGAAGCGTTTATTCGATAGTGATTTTGTCACTCTCAGATTTAAAAATTCCTTAAACTTGTAACCTCCCTGTACCCACTATGGCCCCGACCCCACTACGCTTCGTTCCCAACTATTCCCCGATCCCTTTGTACTGTTTTTTTTTTCGATATTAATTTGTTGTATTACACTTTTATCGAGTTTTTTTTGTATTCAATATATTTTTTATTATAAAGTGTTTGAAGTTTCCTGAAAATCACTTTACGACTCTGGAAGAGTTGTTTGTAAATTATTAAGATATCTGGAGACCGAAAGTAATTAAATAGTTGGTTCCCATAGGAAAATGCCAGTACAGTGGGTTTGAGGCATAGTAGGGACAGAGCATAGTAGGGTTGGAGCACAGTTGTGTCATGGTAAATTTTACTTACTATTGAATGGAACACAATAGTAACGTACCATACGGTTTATCGGCTGATAATAGCTGTCATTCTGGACAGTCAAGGAAACTATCAAATCTATGTAATTTCTGAAATCATTGGAAAGTACGTAAAAGGATGTTACGTGAGGATTTCAGAACAAACAGTTTTCTTATTTAGTAACTTATTCCAAAAAAAAGGGAACCATTCAATTTCAAGACGCCTGAGACTAACTACTAATTTCCATAGATTCGATTGAATGGTGATTATTAATATTATTGCTTATGAAAT